GAAAATATTTCCGGAAAACGGCCCATTTTTCCGCAACTAAACGCACCCTTAGATTCTCAGGTACCAAAAATTGCACCTGCCTTCTTTCTTCTCACAATAGCAAGCCTTAGTGTTATTTATTTATTTATTTGCTTATTTTATACCATAATACAAATCTTTTTGTGACAATTGTTGGGTAGTTGGTGTCTTTTCCAACTCACAAAGCAATAAAAAGGGAAAAGCAAGTGGCAGACAAAGGAATGTGGAACACCTCATTTGGAGGAAAAGCAAAGGAATGCATCCATTCTTTATTTCCTTAAGCATCGGCTCTTTGCCTATAAATAAAACATTCATCATTCATTTGTACATGTACCAACTTGTACTGTAATCTTCTAGCAATAATAAAATCTCTAGTTGCGGCCCGTGGATTGTAGGATTTGTACCGAATCCGAACCACGTAATATTCTTGTGTTCTTCTTGCTTTATTTTCTCGTTTCGTTTGTGAGTGTGTGATAGTGTGTTTCCGCTGCGTGTACCCGGTCCGATTCCTAACAACTGGTATCAGAGCCTGGTTAGCGAGGTTTTGGAGGGTACGATCGTTTTTCTATCACACACGAGTGTACCTTATTTTTTTTGTTTGCCGTAATGGCTGAAGACAAGGTTATAATCGAAAGGTTCAATGGTTCTGATTTTAGCTGGTGGAAAATGCAATTAGAAGCAATGCTATGTCAGAAAGACTTGGACGTGGTACTCGGAGACAAACCGAAGAAAATGGAAAAAGCTGCTGAAGATGCGTGGAACTCAAAGGACAAGAAAGCCAAGGCGGTTATTACATTGTCGTTGACGAAGAGCGTTGCTTTCAACATCATGAATGAAACCACGGCGCGTGGTATGATGGAGGCTCTGTCAAATATGTATGAGAAACCATCGGCGGCTAACAAGGTGTTCTTGATGAAGGAGCTGTTCACTACAAGGATGAATGAGGAAGGCTCAGTTACGGTTCACATTAACAATCTAAATTCAATTCTGTCCAGATTATCATCTGTGGGAATTAAATTTGATAATGAGACTCAAGCTTCGCTGCTACTAGCTTCTCTACCTGATAGCTGGTCCGGAACAGTTACTGCTGTTACGAGTTCCGTGGGGACCAGTGGTATGACTTTTGAAGGGGTTAGAGATTTGGTTCTAGGCGAGGATATCAGACGCAAGAATCAAGGTGGATCTTCCTCTTCTGATTTATTAAATGTCGGAAGAGGTAGAGGGAATAGCATGAATAGTGGGAGCAGTGGGAGTCGGGGAAAACGTTCTTCTAGAACTTTGAAGAATGTGAAATGCTGGAACTGTCAAGAAGTGGGACATGTTAAGAGTCAATGTCCAAAGAAAGAATTGAACATTGCTGATGCTGAGAATTTTTCTGGGGATGATGCATTGTTACTCAGTATGGAAAGTTCTGTAGACTCTTGGGTCATGGATTCAGGGGCTTCGTTTCACGCCATGGACAACGGGGAAACGATGGTGAATCTAAAAGAAGGAGATTTTGGGAAGGTACGGTTGGCAAATGACGAGATGCTTCAAGTAACGGGCATAGGAGATATTGATCTGGTTACTTCATTGGGAACTACATGGAACCTGAAGAATGTCAGGGTGATTCTGGAGCTGAAAAAGAAATTTGATTTATGTTGGTCAGCTGGATAAACAAGGACTGGAAGTAAGGTTTGGTGGTGGTAAATGGAGGGTGGTCAATGGTAATTCGGTGATTGCTCATGGTATAAAGTGTGGGTCATTGTATATGGTTGAGGTACCTGCTGAGGGAAGTATGACCGTCCCTGTTAAGCAAGACAAAATTTGGTTCGCTAAATCTACGGCTAAGAGAGTTCATTTTGCAAACATGAATTCTGGAGCCAATGGGATGTTAGCTGAACGAGTCGGAAAGTCTAAACCAGTCAGGAGATTCTGTGACAGTGGGAGCACGGGGCGTGTTTCGGGTACAGTTACAAAGAGCCGTTGGGTTTTGAAGACTAAGACTGAAAAATTCTCTCCTGTTGGAAGTTTGCTAAGTTTGGAGAGTGTTAGTGGTCCTCGGTGTATCTCTGGATCCGGTGGAGTGTCCAAACCGGTTGAGACAGAGGATGAGTCGGTGGCGGGATTAGCCACGGCTGAGTTGGAGCTAGTGGGAGCTTCAACTGGCCCTTCTTGTACTTGATGATGAGGGGCGGCTGCAACTAGAGAAATGAGACTAAGTTTAGCTTGTTCTTGGGAACAGGAAGCTTGGAAGACTTGTCTGGTTTAGAGATTACTGAAGTGACTGAGGAATGTTGCTAGAGTTGGATGGTAGAAAAAGCCTGAGTTGTTTTCAAAGCCCCAAGTGGGAGATTGTTGGGTAGTTGGTGTCTTTTCCAACTCACAAAACAATAAAAAGGGAAAAGCAAGTGGCAGACAAAGGAATGTGGAACACCTCATTTGGAGGAAAAGCAAAGGAATGCATCCATTCTTTATTTCCTTAAGCATCGGCTCTTTGCCTATAAATAGAACATTCATCATTCATTTGTACATGTACCAACTTGTACTGTAATCTTCTAGCAATAATAAAATCTCTAGTTGCGGCCCGTGGATGTAGGATTTGTACCGAATCCGAACCACGTAATATTCTTGTGTTCTTCTTGCTTTATTTTCTCGTTTCGTTTGTGAGTGTGTGATAGTGTGTTTCCGCTGCGTGTACCCGGTCCGATTCCTAACAACAATAACAACGAATAGATAAGTAATTTTTTATATAAAGTTTCCATAAAAAAATATTGTAACTTCCATAAAAACCATGAAAGCAAACTATGTGTACATTTAAATGGCATTAACTAATCGACCATAGATTTAAGATTTGATAACCTTACACCATGCCTTCTCACCTTGATTTTTTAAAAGACACTTCTTTTACGTGCTCTTATTTCCTTCACCATTTCAGTTTATTGTCAAATAAACAGTCAACTATTATTCAGAATCATTTTTGGACAAAAGCGTAAAACAATAAGTTTTTTTCTTCATATTTCCATTTAAACCAAAAAAAAGAAAAGTCCTTTTATTAATTACTTTACCCATACATTACTTGGGGAGAAAAAAAAAAACATCCCCTAAAAGTCCATAACAACAATTTCAACACACAAGAATCTTGGAATTTTGCTTTTTAATCTCATACAAAAATAAATAGTTGGTTACCAGTTTATGACATTTAAACCTGTTAAAAATACAATCAACCAAGGACACTAGTCTTGGCTGCAAGATAGGTGAGAGACTGTTTATGGTAATTAATCCGAAGTTGTTTATACTTTTTAGTAAAAGTCACAACATCAATCTCCTTTCCAAGAAGCTGTTCATGTAGCATTTCTGATTCCTCATCTGTTTTATTCATACACTCTGAAGTAAAATCAGCAATAATATATCATCAGATTAATTCCCAAAAATGACAAATAATCAATTTTAAAGAAAATATATATTTATTATACCTTTTAGCTTGTTTAGCAAGGAACCCGGGGAGTAACATTGAAGGAGTTGGGTTTTTTTCTTGAGGTCATGTAGCTTTTCTTGAGCAGATGCTAATTCCATTGTCCGTATGATCATACACTGTAACACCACATGAAGTTATCAAAAAGGAATCGGAATGGAATCTGTCAAAGGAATTGGAATTTCAGGGAATAAAGGAAATGTGTTTGGTTGGTTATAATGAGGGTATTTTGGTCTTTTAATAAAAAAGAAAGAATGGAACTGATTTCCATTGATTTAGCAAACAAACATGCCATGATGGAATGGAATCTGGAATTCCAGTTATATGAGTTTTAAGTGCCCTGAAAAACTCACCTGGTTCCTTAATTCAGTTATCTGGGGTTCTTTTTCCAAGTTTTCTCCTGCATAACAAACATATCATAAAATCACTCGTATATTATTCAAGGGTATTTTAGACATTTGGTAAATAAGTTACTAATTTGATAAAAAGGCTAACACATCAAGTAAGAAACTTACTAGCAAGTTGCAGGGTTTCTTTCTTAAGCTCATCTCGTACCTGGTTTAAAAAAAAACAAATATATATAAGAGAAAGTTACAGGAATTAGCAATGTACTTGATCTTTTTACTAATATAGGCATTGTTATTTCTCACTATTTGTCCAATATATAAAAGATAAAAATAACTGGAAGACTAAATCAAAACATCAAGAATTTAAGAACTTGTGATTAAAAAGATAAAAGTTTGTTGCTTACATTATTCTGAGTTCTTACAGGATCAATTGAAAGCAAGAACTGTTGATAGGCTCCTTGGTCAGATAAAAGCCTCCGTAACTCATCAATACTATACCAATCATATAATGCAAAGATTAAATACACAAAAATTCAAAAAAGAAATAGAAAAATGATGGTTGAAGAATGTTAACATGTTTGAAAGGAAGGGTACCTTTTGTCTTGCAGATATACAACTGGAGATTGAGTTTCATGAGATGATAAGTGAGATCGATCTTCAAGCCTTTCAGTGTAAGTGTTGGAATTGATGTTATTAGGAATAGGAGAGCCGGATGAACTTGGTGGACTAACAGATGGAGGATACCATGAATTGGTAGTGCTTTCCTGTGGCCTTGGAGAAGAAACTTGTTGCTCTTGAGGAGAACCCCTGAAAGTTAGAAGCAATCATTACTTTGATGGTGTATGGATCATAGTAACATTAAAGTTACAAACAGTTGAAAAACTAGGTTAATTGTGATTATTTCGTTTTTCATCACCAAATCGAAGCATAAGAAAGAACATAATTTGATTAGAAACGTTACAACTATGGATGTGCAGCTAAAATCTCTAAAGCTCTAATTCGATGCCATCCGTCTAATCCAAAACTACTGGTAAATCAAAAAATTAAGCACAATCGGTGCAACTACATGGTTTGAAATTCCGATTGGAGCAAAATCAGTTAAAACCTCTCAACTAAATAGGAATCAACACCAGACCTTGAATCCAAGCTACAGAATGCACTACCTAATACCGATCATTCTATCCAAACACCGAAAACTAAAAGCATCATCAGATTGAATTAGAAGATAGGGGGGAATAATGATTACCAGAACTTGAACATATCTGTCAGAGGTCGTTGATCTTCCAATTGTTGCAGTGGTAAAAGAGCTCACGCTGAGAAAACGAAGCCAACACTCCAACAAAATGAGATACAAGGAAGAGAAGCGATCGCCGGAGGAATAAAACTGACGGATGTACAATTTGAGGTTACCGGAATTGTGTGCTCCGATAATATCTCCCCGATTTGCTGATTTATACTACGAAGATGGAGAGAAAAGTCAAAGCGACGTTTTTGTCGTTGACTTCGGAGTTACAACTTTCAACCCTGTACTTTCTATTTTTCAGTTTTGCCCCTCAAAAGTTTACATTTTTAGTCAAATATTTTACCATTGGCATATATGATATAACTAATATGGCAAAGAACTCAAAAGTCATAGTCTCAAAAGCAATAGATTTACTGATATATAAGAATAAGAAGATGAGTAAATGCGTGGACCTTCTAAAAAACTGATCTGTCCAACAAAATCAATCATTAGCCAAAGAGAAACTTATACAAGATAGTAAGGTACATTATGTTAAGATCTTATGACAAAGTTCAAGTTGCAAAAAGATTATCCAATGTCTTCGTACTACTTTCAAGAATCATATATAAAATTGAATTAATATCCACACCTCGTGCATTCGAATTCACCATGTAATCTTTGGTCAAAAAGTCTAGGAAATCTACTATGAAAGGAAGACTCCCCTAACCAAATGTCTTTCCAAAAATAAGTAAAATTACCATTGCCAATCTTTTTTAACATACAACTTCAAATTAATTTTTTACGGACGTTTTTTAAAAGAAGTAAGTATGGTGACAACCAATCAAGGTATTCATAAGACCAGAGGGAGTGGGTGCGGTCTAGGCCGCACTCCACCCGCCACATCATCACGCACACCGCCCCCTGGGTGCGGTCCAGGTGCGGTCTAGGCCGCACTGCGGCCTTCCAAGGGTGCACTCTTCTTTTTCTCTCTCCTCTTTTACTTGCTCTTTCTCTCCTCTCTCAACCAATCATCTTTCTTTCTTTTTTTCTTTTCTTTTCTCTCTCCTAACTATTTTCTCACTCCCACATTACGGTTTCAAATTGATGAAATAAGAAAAAATATGAGTTGGCATCTACGTGGCATAGAAGGGAGTGCGGTTTCAGTGACACCACTCCCTCCAGCCTAATAAGCCAAGACGACGGTGGCCATGTAACTTTGTAGAGATGCACTACTCACTCTCCACGAGTAATAGAGCCCTGCAGCTTTATCGTGTTTACAAGAGTGGTTGAAGTTACATTTAGTTTGAGTACTAAGGTTGTTAAAAAAATCAGTATTTATGTTTGGAGATGGACAGATGTATGTGAAAAAAATTGTTTTTTACAATTTCTTTCTAAAGACAAAAGACATAAAAACATATGTTCGTTAAAAATAGCTTACATGTCTTAGTTTTTAAATTAATGTGTCTTTCTTTCGATTTGTTTTTTTTTTTTTATTATTCTTCATTCTTATTTTTCCGATCTGATTTATTTATTTACTTTTTGTTTTTTATCCTTATTTTTAGACTGGTGAATGCCCAACAAACCTTATCATGCATCATTTTATTTAGAAAACATGTTCCAAAATAATATAAAGTAATTTATTTGTTTATTACAAACGTTATATCTCAAATTTTGTTACTTATATCATTCAGATAAAACTTCGATCTATTCACCTATCATCTTGACCTCCATTAACTCATTTTAACCAAAAAAATAATTATTATCGAAATTGTATATGATGAAATTTTTTATTTTAACATCGATTTTTACCATTTACAAATTCAATTATAAAAAGGGTTTTTTTTTTTGGTATATTGTTGATGAATATTTAACTGAAAAAGGAGTTAAACGATATCAAAATAAAGTTAAATGACATAACATAACCTTGTAATCACACCATAAAACCAGCATTCGTTTCGTAATCCTACCATAAGTTCCATGTAGCACTCTTAACATTTGAACAATTCTCAAAGGTCATCATAGTTTTCCTCTCAAATATCAACGTCCAATAACTAGAAAACCATTAAAGTCAACAAAGAACCCGTGGTTAACAAGCTCAAGCAAGGGGCCAAAACAAAATTTCAAAAAAAAAAAATTACAACATTTGATTTGAACTCCTCTGGAATAGAATTGGCCATTGCCCATTACAACTATACGCACATTCTTTACAAAAGATATATATAAATATAGTTAGTCTAGTCATCATCCGACAAGCAAACCAGGTCATGACCCACTCCTCCACTTGGTGGTGGTGGTGGTGGTGGTGGTTTCTCATTATCCTCCGGAAAGATATCAGTTAGGTCCACTAAGTTATACTGAGCCCCTCCTCCACTTGGTGGTGGTGGCGGTGGAACATAAGAAGCTTCCGGAGGTAGCGGTGGGAGTGGCGGTCGGGTATTTGGGGGGGTTGTTACATGCTGATCTGGCACTGGCACCGGCACCATCCTCCGATAGGGTGTCAATTCAGGAGATGCTGACGTGGAAGGTTTATAAGGTCGAAGATGTGGGGCCGGGGCTCGGATATCACTGTTTACCAAAGGTCGAATATGTGGGGCCGGGGAACGAATATCACTGTTTACTAAAGGACGAAGATGTGGGGCCGAGCCACGTAGACTTCCTGCTGATGGGGTGATGGGGGTGATGTTGGGTGGTGGTCTGGTGGCGGTGGTGGGGGTGACTGGGGTGATTGTAGGCGGCGGTCTAGTGTTTGGGTTGATGTTAGGTGGTGGTCTGCTAACCGGGGTCACTGGGTTGATGGTAGGTGGTGGTGGTCTGATTACTGTGTTGGAGAAAAGAGCTGCCGGTTGGTGAACTATTTGAAGTGGCGGTGGCGGTGGTGGAGGAGGCGGCAGTGATGATGGTGGCGGCGGTGGCGGTGGTGGTGGTGGTGTCTGCTGTCGTCCAGATGATTGACCAGGTGAAGATGAAACAACACCAACGGAAGGTCTTACTGAGAATCTATGGAGTTGTTGCATTAATCCAGCTTGAGACACTGCAAAAAAAACAAAAGGGTAAATATGGAAAAAAAAAACTTATATGATTATGAGGGCATAGGCATACCTTTCGGCATTCCTAGCCCAGAATGATTGATATCTTGACACTTGGCCCTGAAAGCCTCGGCTAAAATTCTATTCATAACAACTCTGTTAACCGTTATATTAAGTTCCTTCTTTCTTAACTGAAAGGCTTCTTCTGCTCCTTTAAACTTTGCTTCATATTTTAGAGTTATTTGAGCAATCATATCAGCTATTTCCTTATCACATTCAGATTTCATCCTTTGTTTCTGCATGTATACACACCCACAAACATGAAACAAAAAAAAAAAAAAATTATAAATTAAAATTATAGACTAACCGTTTCTTCATAAAACTTTGTAACATTATCTCTATGGGCAAATAACCGCTCCAGTTCAGCTTGAAGTGGATCACCCTGATTTGGTATCCGTGGAGCCACTTGGTTAGGAAGATCAAACAGGTTTATTATAGGCTGTGATGTGTTCTGATTTGTGATTTCTGGTGGGTTTGAATTCTGTGTAGAAACTTGTACTTGTTCTTGTTGCCCAGTTTGTTGGTCATTTACTGTATCAGGGGCGTTTACGTCATTCTCACAAGTGGTTTCATTGGCTGGCTGCGTATCGGTTTGATTCTCAGCCATTGGATCATCATGAGGCTGCTCTTCTGAATTGATCTGGGCAGATGAATTAGGATCACCTTGCGCTTCTTTCTCTTGAATTCCAAGGTCTAACAGTTGTTCTAGAAGAGACTCGTTTTCAGTTTCCTGACAAAACCAAACAAAGTTTTTGTTTTTTAGAAAAAAAAAAAAATTGACCATTTTACCCTTCTGTCTAAAGTTGAATTTGAAAGACTTGATGATGTGATTAACTTACCAAAATTGTTGGCATTGGAGGATCCGGAGGTTGAGAAGCAACCAACTGAACTGAGGGTGTATCGTCATGTGGTACACCTGCAGACAGTTGATTGCTGCTACTGGAACCACACGAATCATTCTGTTCTTGGTCCTCAACAGCATGTGATTCATCATGTTTTTGGGTCCTATCTTCTTCATGTTCTCGGATTTCATCGCCACCTGGCACTCCCGTTTCACCAGTGTCATCAACACGATCCGCCACCTCAGCACCATTACCATCTCCGTTACTATTCTTCTCTTGGTTCAAATCAGCTTCCACTAATTCAACATCATTGCCAATTCCATCACCTTCCTGAGCTGGAATTTCTTCATTTACTACCCCCGCCACATCATCAACAGTCTCATGCTGACATGGCGGAACTTCTACTTCTACTTCTACTTCTACTTCTGCTTCTACTACACTTGACGACAACACCGTTGCATCAACCATTTGTTTTTCCGAGGTATGCGAACCTGTTGACTCGATGTCATCACCTATGCCCAAACTACCCCTTTCTTTGGATTGATCCTGAACCCTACCGCCATCCAATTCCAAGGGCGCTTCAGTCATTTTATCACCCGGATTCCCAACAGAAACTGATGTTTCAGGTTTAGCTGCCACATCAGCATCCACGTCAGCAGCAAGGAGTGTTGACTTGAGCTCTTTGAGGTGAATATCTTTATCTCTTTCATGTTCTTCAATTTTTTTCGCAAATTCTTTGTCTAATAATCTTAACTTCTCTGTTCTTTTGGAAGGGTTCTTATGCACAGTACGAATAATAGCTTTCTCCACTTTGTACTCATTTTCCAAACATGCCCTTCTGTCATTCCATTCCCTATTAAACTCCTCCATCTCTTCACTTAGCTTTTCGGTAGATTCTAAATTTTCTGCAACTGATACTTCAACATTTTGATTCTGTTGACTTTCAGTTGACGTTTTCTGGTCGGTTGACTTTGACTCTGTGCAGATAGCTTGAGGTGGCGATTTTAAATCTTTTATTTCAACATGTTTCTCTTGTGTTTCTGTTTGGTTTAAGAAATCCTCTTTAGCTTCTTCAAGCTTCAAGTGAACAGAATTCACCTGTTCTTCCTTACAATCAAAATTCAATTGCTTTTTTGCAAGGTCAAAAGACTCTTTTCTATCAATTTTATGTTTTGCAAGAGAAGCCCCAATCCAACACTGAAATGATGAATGACATCATTAAAATTAAATACATTAATAATGTCAAAAATTAGGGCTTTAAAAAAATTTCATACCAATGATATCATGAATGCCTGTAGAGTAGTTGTATCCTCCCTACTGACATTATAATTCTTGAGAACAAAATCGAGAAATCCATCCACTTTGTTCTTGACATCCTCCTGTATTTTTATTTTTTAAGCCAAGAAAAAATAATTAAAAATGTTACATTTGTATTATTGTCAAAAAGTAACATACCGGAAACTTTAGGATTTTACAAAGCTCATGCACAGTGGGATGTAGAAGCTCAGGAGATGATTGAGACTCGTTATTGCCACCTGAAACAAGATCTGAATTATTTATTATAAAACTCAATGCACATAAATTTAAAAAAAAAAAAATTGTTAATTTTACCTTCATATGCCCCTCCAGTCCCCCATTCTACAGGCCTTGAAGCAGGAGACTTCTTCCGCTTCTTTACAGCATCAGCAACAGGGGCAATTGTGTCCGATGTTTCACCATAATATTGTGTTCTTTTCCTTTGTCTTGAAGTTGACACATGTACAAATTTCCATTGAGGGTATTTTCCCTCTAATAAATTTCTCCAAAAAATATGTGGCTGTTCTCCATCAGGCAGCTGATTTTTAATATCACCATAGGGCATATTTCTATTCCCATAATACCCACAGGTTTGAACTTTGGTGATCATTGACTTTTCTCCATCCTTATTTTTACCTTTGTTGGAAATTATATACAAAAACTCCTCCATTACATCCTTCAACAAGTTTCCTTGAGATGAAATATCCTTTCCAGATTCACCATGAAACTTCTCCAAGTTTTTAAACAAATCTTTGGCTCCCCACATTAACAAAGCATCACAAGTCAACCTACTCCGCTTACTATCAACAGCAACATTCTGTTGAGCGAGTTTTAAAATCTTTTCTTCGAGTGTGTTCTTGGAATACAAACGAAAAATCATTATCTGTTTTTGTTGTGAATCTGAATCGATTGATAATTTTCGAATATCGTTTGCTGGATTGAGATCACTATCGAATATGATTACAATGTCAACTGATGATAATTTGATGCTTGGTTGATTGGAGCGTTCTAGTAAAAAGATGAATTTATTTGGATTATTGTTGAAGCTGTTAAAAGCTGCTTGTTTTGATTTTTGAGCCATGCGGGCCCCGTCCACACGTTCGTAAGAGTCTTCACCAAATCTTTGATGGACAAAATCGTCCAAAATGTCGCCAAGTGTAACGGGAGGAGTATTGCTTTCAGTGGTAACTCTTTCAGGAACTATAGGCTGTTTGTTGGAAGAAAATATAAATGTCAATATTTTTTTTTATATTAATAATAAGTGAAATTATTTAATTTGTACCTGAAAAAGGATGACAACTCTTAGTTGGCGTTTTTTGACCTCGGGGAGAATTAGGTCAAGAAAGTGAAGTTTGCCACTTGCTTTAAGACCAATGTCATAAATCATAGTTGGTTGATCCTTTGTAATTGATTTTTGAAGATCTTTATCTGCTGTGTATGGGTGATTACAACACTTCAACATGAAAAATAAGATTCATTAAATACATTCATATGATAATCAAAAGAATTTTAAAACTTTATTCATTGGCACACACAATATCTAGATAGAAAAATTCTCATACGGGTTAACTAAAAGATAGATGCTAAACTATTGTAATGGTTATATAATTTAAAAACAATTTATTTGGTCTTTTTTTTTGTCTTGATCATGATTATTATTTTAAATATCATTTATTTTTTTCAAGGTAACTTATGTTTTTTAATTCTTTTTACTTACAAGTTACAACTATTATGATTTTTGATTAATTAAAAACTAATTCTTTGTAAATTTTCGTTATTATAAATAAAATAAAGTAAAAAATTGGTATCACTTATTGTTTTCAAGGTTAGTAGGTAACTTAATATAATTTTTAATTTATGTCATGTATAAATAGTTACTATAATTTTTAATTAATTAAAAAAACTAATTCACTGTATATTTTCATTATAAAAAAAATATATAGTTTTTGGTCAGCATTTTGTGAATTTGGCATTTCGATTTAGGTTTTACATTTAAAATGTTATATTAAAAAAAATAACTATTTTAAAAAATATATATATAGTTTTTGGTCAGCATTTTGTGAATTTGGCATTTCGATTTAGGTTTTACATTTAAAATGTTATATTAAAAAAAATAACTATTTTAAAAAAAAAAAAATAGTCTTTGGACAATTATTTTCAACTTTATTTAATATTTTGACTTATGTTTTGAATTTAACACCATATTTAAACTAACAAATTAAAATATTATAAAGTGGTAACATTAAAAATATACTGTTGTACACACAATTTAAATAAATAAACTATGTATATTAGGGTGAAAATTCAAGAGTTGGCATATAAATTTAGAATAATAAAGGAGTTTAATGTAGTAGTTAAAAGATAAGTTTTAAATGAATATGGTTCAAGTAAAATGACATCAATTATATACTTATAAAGATAGAGAAATAAAATATCCTCCTACTTTTTCTTCATCCTCCTACCACTTTTAGATGATGATAAGTGTAATAAAAAAATTATTAATTCTATTAAATACGACAAGTGTCACAATCTTAAATGTGCAGGAAGATGGTGAAATCATTATTCCACATTGTTTTCTATAAAGTTCATAAGTCTTACATTATATCATATCAGATAAAAGGCATAATGTAAGTGACAGAAATAAAAATATTGAATTAATGAAAGAATACCTTGCGGTTGGATTTAAGAATGTTATGAAGAGCCTCAACACTATCACTTTTTGAGCCTGAACGAAGAGCCATTGCATCAGAAAGTAGAGTAGAACAATACTGTTCAAGCTGCAAGTTTGATATCTGAACAGGAACCCAAAATTCTACAAACTTTGCATTATTGTTTTCTGTATCCTCCATAACACCAGCTTCTTGGCATGTCTTTCTAACCTAGTACAACCATTAAGATAAGAAGTTTACAGCCAATACATGAAATCAACATTGTAGTATTATTCACTGACCTTGGAAGTAGAGGTCCCTTGTAAATCTTTGTCACATGTCTTGTCATGAGACTCAAGTTCCTGTTGATTCTTTGAATCATTGTTGATCCTGCATCATAAGAGTAACTAACATCACTTTCTTGAATGCATTTGGTTTTATCATTTATGGAATGAATTTGAAGGAAAGAAAGGATTGGAGAAGGAAAAGAATTGAAGATCACCAACCGATTATATAAATACAAAGTCACCATGAATGATGTAAAAATCTTTTGGTCTAGAATCAGGATTAAAGAGTGATAAGGAAACTGACTAGATTCATGTTTTTTGTCATTACATGGTCTCTCTCTCCTTTAATAGGTTAGTAAAAGATAAATGACTTAACAATTAAGAAATCCATTAAGATTAGACTCTTCAACTTCCCTGAAGTAAAAACATTTTAAAAGTCATAAAGACTAGACTTTTCAACTTCCTAAATAGTAAAGCCACTTAAAGTACAATAAATACTAGACTCTTCACCTTCCTAAAAAATTAAAACAACCTAAAAGCTATAAATGTTATTCCCTAAAGCTTAAACTTTTACTAAAAGCATTGAACATGGCTTTTGGTTTCCCATGCGAAAGCAAATACTTGCAAAATAAAGCAGAAAGCAGAGAAAATACTTGCAAAATAAAGCAATAGAAGCTGAAAGTAATAAGAAAAGTAGGACCTAAAGTCCTAAACCACTCCAATACCCTATTTTGCCCTCCTTCACTTTCACAATGATAATAAGCATGCCCAACTCAATCCCCATTCCCTCTATACATAGACTTGGTTAGATCAAAATACCAAAATTACCCTTCACTAGCTAATGTAGGCATAATAGACTCGTATTCCGTTATCTCTATATTGAAAAAGGGAATAAAAATAATAGCGCTAATCAGCAGTATACAGGATAGCTCTATGAATTTCCAAGACCTCAATGGAATGACCAGATAACTAATGCACAGATGTTAAACACTCGGTTTTATACGTGAAAAAGAATCTAATAGAATACATGAATTCAGCACATATTCTAACCCAAAAAGGAAAGGGGCGAATGTGATAAGTACTCATACCTTTGCTCTTTTGAGCATGCAAGGGAAGTTTCATCATCACCATGCTTCTTGCACCCAGATGATGGTGATTTGGGGGAGATTTGGTTATCACTATCTTCACAAGCATCAACATCAATATATTGTGTTGACATTTTTCCATTATTATCTTGTGAGCATTTGCCACCAACTTGTTTTCCCCCATTCCCACTTTCAGTAGTCCTACCACTTTCAGCTGGCGTGTGTTGCACATCTGAATCCTGGCCATCTTCTGTATGCCAATGAAGAAAAAGGTGTCAGACCAATTCATTCAGAATCTCATAAGCCCTATAGTAAATTAAGGGTGTGGTCCATTTGGCATTAGAGTGTAATTACTATTAATAGATAGATCAAAACAAGTTTTGGGTCTTTGGAAATTTGGGAGATTGTATAAAGAGATATATAAGTAATCAAATTGTCATCTAAAGAAAGAAACTGTGGATAGCTACTAATGACAACAAGGTTAGCATGATAAAACAAAAAAAAAAAAGATGAATAAACTTATGCACCTGCTTCAATTCTTAAACGCTGAGGTTTGAACAAAGCTTTATAACCACGAACAGTCATCCTCTTCCTTTTCCTACCACCCACATCTGGATCCTGTCTTTCATTTTTTGTTATCTACACTAACATCCTCTGCATCTTGATCTTCTTTTGAACTCCTTGCAATTATCTCTTTCTTCTTGATGTTTTGTGAAGCAGTCACCTCAGTTAACTTCTTTGATCCTGAAGAATCTGGTGAAACTTGTTTCTTACTTCTATCAGACCTCCTCAAAGGACTTGGCCCCATCTGTTCTTCAATTTTATCTTGTTTCTTCTTGATTGGAGAAGAGCTTGGTGTTGCGTGGTTCTCAATTCGTTCAGACCTACGAGCATTAGACAAAGGACTTGCTGTTGCTTGTTTCTTTGATGGTGTTTCTCTGCCTGATTTTCTTAAACCAGAGGCATCAGCTGATCCTGAGAGTGAAGCAGAAGATGCATCTTTCCTCTTTGACTTTGTATTTCCATCTTCCTTTGCCATTGTGGCAACTGCAGATGCAAAGATCCATCAATACGATTATAAACAACAAATACGCGCAAAATCTAGTACATGAGTTGCACGAGCAAACAGGAAGTTACAGCATAGTAGAAGCATCATCGGTAACCTTTCTCTACGCTTCTAACTATTAGTTTATTAAGAATCCGGTGAATGTGTAAACAGAATGGTGTGATACTCATTGATTAAAATCCCCAATATTGTATGCAGAGTTAGAGACAATGCACAACCCAAAAATGCAGTACATAAATACCGAAAACCTAACATACATGATACAACTTGCTCCAACTAGGTACCACTGAAATGAGCGAAAAAACCAAGTGACTTACACATGTGAAGTATAAGTCCTTCGAAGAGGCACGAAATCCAGTAAATACATGTAATGAAGAACTAATTTAAGCTCCATTAAAATTATAGAAAGATGGTTGATAACATCCAGAAAGCTAGGGCATATATATCAAACTTCGACGATGAGATGCAAACCTGGAATTGTCAAATTAGGGGTTTAGACGATCGTACATGCATCGATTATTTCTTCATCTGGAGTGAAGATTCTACGGCGTGGAAAAGGTTCTCCGACGATAGAAAACGAGGGAAGCGGAGGAAGAGGCCGGAAATCAGAAAACGTCTTCAGCTTCTGCAGGAAAGTAGCAGAGGATTTTCAATTTACAATTTTGCCACTGTACTTAATTGGATATGAAACCGATCCAACCCAACTTTTCAATTAAACAAAATTAATTTCTCTCTATCCCAACTAACTACAGGATCCAATCCCACAAATTTTCACACTCCATAAAAAATCCAACACAGACTAATTTTTCGTTAAATAAATATAATTTGTAATTATCTTTTATAAAAAACAAATCACACCAATTTCATTAATCATTATCCAATATTTAATAAAAAAAATAGGTGATGAACCAAAATAGCCCCAAATTTTATAAATAAATGCCTATAAAAATGTTCATTTATCTGTAAAAAAATTATGTTTTTTGACAAACAAAATATTATTTTTCCACATAAAAAATGTCGTATCATATCGTTGATTGAAAATATGTTCATGGGTTGAGAAAATGATATAATGGGCAATTGGGCATGTTGTGGACCCCTATTTAAGGTATAAATGTTTTTTTTTTTTCGTATTTTTTTTGTTGGGTTGTTATGTTAATTTACAATAACATAATTAATACAAATAGGGGAAACAAAAATAGATCAAGCACCATAATCAAGCCTGATGATTTTATTCACGTATTAAAAACAAATTTTATTAACCCACAGGAAAAGTTTAGAATTACCTTGTAATGAAAACTAGTGAAGATGCATTCAAACCATAACCCTCTAATAGTGTCTTACCCATTGACTTCTTACATCAAGAACACAAAACAATAACACCTCTGGAGAGAGACCAAATGAAATCGATCAGAAGGCTTCTTGAATAAACCTAGTTGGACTTGAGCAACCAGAGGAAGGATTGTTGGAGGATATTTGAATAGGATGATGGTGGAGAACCGAATTTCTCTTGGATCGTTATTTTCACCCTATGTCTGGCTTATAGGATATCCAGTCTAAGATAATTCAAGAGGACACTTGTGTATCTAGGCACATAAACACAATCTAAATCGTCAGAGAGTTTTGAGTTCGTATAGAAGAAGAAGAGTTGAGAAGGGTCTATCTGCGGCTCAATAAATGAGCTGTATTTATCCTTGACTGATTAGGGTAAATCCTCTAAATTAGTTATACAAATCTCGAAATTAATGACATAATCAATGGTTACCAAAATTAACGAGATTTGTCAATTTTACCATAATTATTACATATCTTGGGATTAATGAAATAATCAATGGTTACCAAAATTGATGAGATTTGTCAGTTTTACCATAATTACTACAAATCTCGAAATTAATGATATAATCAACGGTTATCAAAATTGACAAGATTTGTCAGTTTTACCATAATTACCTACTAGAATTCGGATTTTCCATAGTGTAACTAATTATGTCGTACCGGCTTATAACTCGATCTTATATATGCATGCACTTCGCATTCACCAAACATATAATATAGAGTACAAACGATAAGCCTCTTTGCTCACATGTAGTTCCAATTACACAAAATGTCAGGTGACACTAAAATTACCAACAATCCTCTCTTATTTTAGTGTAACCCATTAACTAACATAAAATTATCTAAACAAACCAAACCAATACATAAATGAAAATATTGAAACGATTAAATTCCCATTTTAGTATCAAACAATTTAAATACTTGAGAATCAGGTGTTCTAAGAATTGAACCCTTCAACCCAACTGAATACATGAAAGTAAAATACATACTAGTTTATTGAACATTCTAGTGAAATACAATTGGACACTATTATAAAGTCGTGTGTCCTAATCCTCTCATGATTGTATCAAGGCCAAGTTCCCAACTTTTTGAAATGCGGCTACACTTCACAATCACATAGGTAATTCCTGTATTTCATGTATATGCATATACATTATATCAAAGGAATTATTAAGAAGTTATACTTCAGCCTGGCCAACTTGCAGAACCGAACACACACCAGGGATGTATACTTCATGTGTTCCAATCTATAAGTGTGAGCTTTCCACATTGAATTCAACTCCTAATGTCATATTAGAAGGGAATTGGGTGTCTCACCATTATAGAATTAAATGGACTTGAATCTCATCCCTATAACAGACTTGTGCACTAAGGCTCTTGTCAGACCTTTAGTCAAGTGATCTGCCAAATTTTGTTGCAATTTCACAAACTCTACCGAAATCACACCATTTTATGATTAATTCTCTAATCATACTATGTCTAACACCTAAGTGTCTAGACTTTCCATTATAAACCTGGTCGTAAGCCTTAGCTAGAGCGGTTGCATGATCACAAAGGATATATATAGGTGTTATTGGCTTTCACCACAAAGGAATCTCATAGACTAAATTCCTTATCCATTTTGCTTCTTTACCAGCAGCAGCTAACGCAACAAACTCAGATTCCATTATCGAGTTTATAATACAAGATTGCTTTTTGGAAGCCCATGAAATGGCACCTCCCCCAAGCAAGAACACCCAACCAGTTGTTGAGGAATGGTCTTCCATGTTGGTTATCCAACTTGCATCCGAATGACATTCTAAGACTGAAGGACTTTCTAAGTAACTCAATCCATAATCCATGGTTCCCTTGAGATACTTAAACACTCTATTGACCGCTTGCCGATGTTGAGCATTAGGATTACCAGTGTACTTGCTCAACTTTCCCACTGCATAAGCAATATTAGGCCTGGTACTTGTCATTGCATACATCAAGCTACCAATAGCCTTAAATATTCCAATTGTGAAATAGGAATGCCATTGTTAGGCATTAACTTCACTCTTGAATCCATGGGAGGACTCACATGAGAACAATCACTGAAACTAAACTGTTTGAGAATTTTCTCAACATGGTGACTTTGAGTCATCACTAAACCTTTATTCACCATTTTAATTCTTGTGCCAAGAATTACATCCGCCTCTCCCAAATCTTTCGTGGAAAACTTAGATGATAACAATTGCTTTGTTTCATCTACTTGCTCTTGGTTAGTACCAAAAATCAGCTTATCATCTTCACACAAGCAAATGATCACTCTTGCACCAGTATCATCATTGAATCTACTGTAAACACATTTGTCACATTGGTTTAACTTAAAACCATAAGACAAAATAACCCCATCAAACTTTTTATTTCATTGTTTGGGTGCTTGTTTCAACCCATACAAATATTTTACCAGTTTACATATCATATGCTCTTTACCGGGCATAACAAAACCTTCTGGTTGTTTCATGTGAACTTCTTCATAAATTTCACTGTAACATCCCGTTTAAAATAGAATAATTAAATAATAAACCTGGAACCCCGAGAGGTAATTTTTATTATTATATTATATTATTATATCCTAAAATCAAATAATAATTAGCAGGGTGTTGATTTCGGGGAGCCAAATGATATAAATCGGGTTTTTGGGGGTTAAAGTGTAATTTCGGGATTTATTTTGTAAAGATTTTCAAAAGTCAGGGGGTATTTGGTATTATTTGGACGTAATATGTAAGGATTTATGGAAGCAGGGGTTAAGGAGTAAATTTTGGACCTAAGTTGAAGAAGGTTTTTTAGAGGAGGGGCCATTTGGTAACATTTTGACTTAAGTTAAAAGAAAAGAAGAGAATGAGGGACCATTTGCGTCATTATGGGGCGATCTTTATATGAGACGGGTATATAACCAAAAACTTGCCACCCTCTTAACCCTAACCCTACTTCTAAACACCAGCCGCCACCTCCTTCTTTCATCGTCCAGCCGCCACCTCCCGACTCCCTTCCTGTTCCAATCAACCAAAGGCCACCGGCGGACCGTTGCTGCCGACGAAATTAGCCTCACACGTCCCTATTTCCAGTGATAGAAAATACCGTCAAAGAATCACCGCCACTTGGATGTCGCTATCACTGTTGTCGTGTTCCGGTGGAGGCGCAACCTCCATTCCCCGCTGCAGCAGCCTTCTCCTCCTACCTCCGCTCCGTCTCGCAGTCGTTAACTCATATATGCCCACTGTCACCGTCGCCCATCGTGATCGTTTCTTTTGCATATCATCTCCGGTCGTGGTTTCCGTCAAGAAGGGTGGTCGCGGACGTCATTGTCGTTATCCCGGTTGGAGACCGAGAACCTTCCTATTCTCCATCCCTTTTGTTGATGCGCCATCGTCGCCGCCACTCCATGGGGCCGTGGAGTGTTGCTGCCACCGATAGCCGCTGCTGCCCGCCACTCCAAGACGTCGCCGCCGCCGTACACCACCAGGTGGGTGGCTGCTTCGGATATTGAGCGATGCGTGTGTATGTTGCGTGTTTGTGAATCAAGGAGAGGCCACCACCACAATGAGGTGGTGGCTGCCACCATGTACCGTCGTCGGCCCCCACAAGGGTGGTTGTGTGTGTGTGTTATGTTGTGT